GGCATTTAACCCAGATTTTGACGTTATGACTTGGCTCTTTTGATAAGATAGGTGGAGTCAAGCCCACTGCTTCATTCTTCATCTTTCTTACTTTTACTGCCCATAATCAGTAGCTCATTGCTTTGCTTTAGCAACATGATGGCTAGTAAAATTATGAGGGGCTGTCGAGGTATTGTCATTGTGGCATGTTGGTCCTTCGATGGACTTTATGGAGTGATGATAACCTAAGGAGAAGGTTCTATGGTTTCCCAAACTATCACCGGGTAAATTGAAACTTCTAAGTAGTTTATTGTATGAATTTAATGATTTCTGAAATGTTTAGAGCTAAAATGGCAAGGCAGAAGGTGCGGTACTTATGACATGATGAAAGATTAGGGCAAAGGGAAATATCATACATGAGTTGCAAGATCACATTGCTATGTTATATGATGAGAAGATGATAAGGAAGAGATGAGAAAGAAGTACTATGTGAGAGAGCTTGATGTTGTATGTGTAGAATTGAAGGAGATCATGAAAAAATAGGGGAAATATGAAACTAATATAGTGATTGCTAAGAAGAACAACAAAATTGCGACTGCAGCTCTTATTATCTCTTACGCCTTTTTCTTTTTTTTGGAAAAGTGTATGATGAAGTTGTATGTAACTTATACAATGAATGAATAATGAGTGAAGAACATGTTGCAATTATTGGTATTTGAAACTTGGTGCTTATGAGCTTATTCCACTTTTGTTAATTGAAACTTGGAACCTGTATATGTAATTATATATATATATATATATATTGATCAAAATTTAGATCTATTTTATTTTACCTTTAAAGACCAATTTATGGTATCCTTTGTTAATTTAGACCAATTTAATTCAACTTGTAAAGTTTGATACTCTTGAGAAAAAGCAATATAACATACTTGTCAATAAAAATGATTGAACTTTCAATAATACATGCATATGATTACTTAAAAAAAGGGTCCCCACCAACATTACAACATGCATAAAAAGTTGTTCTTACCAACATTACAACTAACTTAGAAAGTAGTCCATGCCAATAATACATTCATAATACTAACAATTATAAATGCCTCATACAAACTTAATCAAGTAGTCTTAATCAAAGTATTGTTTGCCACATTTACAAAATGATCAACAAAATACATAGAAGTGGTCCATGCCACATGCAAAACTAGTCAACAGCACTAAATGCCATTATTATTTTTGTCCTTGTTTGCACACCAATCCTTCTTTTATGTTTTGTCTCGAGTTGTGAGGTTGTGACATGTCATGTCCATCTAAGTCTTTAGTATAGTCCCCACTACAAACCCCAAGCCTTAGTCTTTGCTTAGTTCTTTCTCAATTAGCCTTTGCATTTTCTATGACTATAAGATAATGAGCTAAAATATTGACCTTGGGTTTCTTTTTCCCCTTCCTATTACTACCCATTCTCTGTTAGTACACTAAAATTCACTAAATCACTAAACTACAATTAGCTTTAAGGGCATCAATGAAGTTTTACAACAATGAAAAAAAAATGAATTACTACTTGATATCATGTTGAATATTCACCTATAACTAGTGTTTGAGTTACTTAGTTTCTCCATCTCCAACTCACTTGACATTCCTCACGCACATGCAATCCACCGTGCTCGAGATTCCCTAATTGCACTTATCCTCTTTGTTATTGTTGTCCAAATCACACAATCTGAACCCTCAATCTCAATCTTACACTCTCCTTATTGTTTTTGAGTTTACCCTATTGCTCTAGTTTTCCCTTTACCTTTCCCGCGATTCGACTTTACCTTTCCCCTTTTCATTTTTCCCTTCAGGCTCATACACTTTTTTCCTTTTCAATTTTATTTTTTCATTCCTCATATGTTTGGTTTTTTTGCCCATTTCCTTTATCCATTTTTCTACGTTTTTAACTACAATTTCCATGTAAGAGAAAGTTTGCATGTTACAATATCAAATTGCAGGTCAAATGCCTAAGTGTCAAGATAAGTGGGCCCTACAAATGAGCCAAATAAGCACAAAATGAAAAACATGATGGTAGATTGATGGAAGGAGAAATTTGCACCTAAAGAAAATTATATGGAGGTATAAATGGCCCACTTAATGGTATGAGGTGTTAAGCGTTTCTCAAAGGAGAGCACATGAGCAAAAATACTTTTTAACTCAAAAATACAACTTAAGTGTAAATAATCAAATTATATAATTTCTCAAGGGAAAAATAATATAAATAAAGAAACACAAATCACGAGTACATAACTTAAATTTAATTATTGAGTTACAATAATTACAAACTTAAAAGAAAGAATACTACTTGTTTTTTTTTTTTAAAAATGCATAAATACCTATTCAAAATGAAGACTGGCCAATTGAATCAGGATAAGAATCCCATAAAACACCTCTAGTATTCATGTCATGACAAATTGGCTCGTAAAAAAAAAAAACAAAAGTCATGGCAATGCCTTTTTAATAAAACCTCCTTGAATATAATTGAAAAGTTTTTGGTGAAATTAAAAATAAAATAAAATTGAGTTATAAAAATTTTCTTGGTATAAAAATAAAATCCTGTTATAATTTTAATAATTTTATGTAATTTAAATAAAAAATACCAAAATGTCCTTTGGAAAAAAAAAAAAAAAAGAGCAAGCAAGGAGCCTCCGCGCTCCCACCACTCGTGGCTCCCTGCATTTTGCTCCTTCACCCTAGACAATGTTTTGATACATTTGCAAGATTGTTAGATTTAATTAACATAAACAAGATCAGTGAGATTTCATATTTCCAATATTGCCATATTCAATCAACTTAAACATGTATGCTAGATTCTCCAAATAAACCAGGTTTAAGAATTTTTTCTACAGCTCACCAATCCATCGTCTCCCTCAAGCTAAAACAATAAATGAAGCACCAATGAGAAGCAATGGCGACAGCGAAGCTCAAACCATAAGGCAAAAATGAATCTCAATGACGTCGGGGAAAGGAAAGCTCGCCATTAAATCTCAAACATAGCGGTGGCAGCAGCGTCGTCTCAAATCTCATCACTGCCTCTTCTTCCATCTTCTCAAGAAAGAAGCTCACAAGTGATGGTGAGGGTGAGAACTTGAGAGGGAGTCCGATGATGGATTTCGGACAAGAGACGGAGGAGACCGAAAGGGCGGTGAAGGTGCGACTACGGAGGGCGGAGCCTTTCGCCAGTAAGGGTTAGGGTGGATCAAAGAGTTGAAGATTGAGGGGTAAAAGAGAGATAAGTCTGGCCAATTCCATAGGGCAAAGGATGGAATCTGATTCTGAAGTTTTGGTGGGGACTTGGGTCCTTTTCATTTCCTCTCCCTCTCTATTTCCTCTCTACTTTTATCTTAACCATTAAATATATTTTTAAATGATTAAAATTTAATATTTTATAAAATTATTATTAAAACATAAAATTTTATGAAAAATAAATATAATAATAATTTTATGAAATATTAAATTTCAACCATTTAAAAATAAATTTAATAATTAAAATGAAAAATGAAAAAAAAATGTAGAGGGAAGGAAATGAAAAGAAGTCAAATCTTTTTGGTGGTTCATGTACAATTAGTTTCCTGTGTACCAAGCTCTTTAAAATGTCAATTCCTATTCTGTTTCCGTTTCCTTTCTTTTAATTCTCATGTACATCAACGTAAATGTTTGGGCTCCACTCAAGACATATTACGAAGATCAAAACCCTTGGAAAGTTTCCATCACTTTCTTTCTTCACAATCCACTTTTTTAACGGGCCAGAAGAGTACATCAACATTTTGTTTTTTTCATAAAACTAATTTGGGCTCAGTGATGAAATATAAAAGTAAAAGATTGATGCCTTAACTTTTACGTACTTTGCTTTTAAGTTGGTAAAAAGGATGCGTACATTATTTTAAGGAAAAAAATAATAAAACAATAATTAAATTTCTTAAAATATCATAATTTTATTAAAAATTTTAAAAAAATTTATGTCAATAAATTGTAAAGCAAAAAAAATCATTTTACTCTTATTAGCAAATTATAATTACTTATTTAATTATTATTATTCTTTGAATAAAAATTATTATTTTTAAAACAAAAGTTATAATTGATATTTATTATTTTGAGAATTTATTTTTTAATAAAAAAAATTACACTTGACAAGTGATTTCTTATTTAATTCTTATAATTCATAGAATAAACATTATTATTCTTTAAGTAAAAATTATGATTGAAGTTTTTTTTAATAACAGAAATTATGCTTGATTAATTATAATTTTTTATTCAATTTTTATGATTTATAAAATAAAAAGTAAAAGTTGTTATTAAAATTGATTATTTTTGATAAAGATAAAATGACCTTTTAATTTAGACTTAATTAATACAAAAATTCTTAAAGATTCAATAAAATTATAATATTTTAAAATATCAAATTGACATTTATATAATTTAAAATTTCATTACCATTTTTCTTTCTTTCTTTCCTTTTGTTTTTCTCGAAAAAACCAAATCAAATATGCTTTCAATCTTATCACATTGAGCGAAGGATAAATCAACACCACTACCTTAAATTTTCTGTTTTTTTAACCAAAAACTGCCTGACCCAAGCTCAAATCCCAGCCAACACATCCTCAGTTGTCCACTCACACACCTACGTCATCATCAAATTTATATTTTTAACAAATTGATCATACTCAATAAGTTCCATGGCATTAAGTTAAATACTTCAGAACACTTGCGTTCACCTTCTTAATCTCCTGCAATCTAAATGTAGTCCCGCACTATTTTAAATTTTTTCATTTTACATACTTCTAAAAAGTTGAAGAAAGGCTGCAACAAAATTTGATAACACTGAATTTTTTTAAAAGAACTATCGCTCCATATGAAAGCATTTCGTTAGCTCGAGCACCGAATGTATGCGTTGAGACAATAAGATCTTGAGGGTCCTCGAACTCGGCTTCATAATATTCTACAATCTAAGTTTAAAACTAAATGAAATCGGACAAATGCGGCCAAAAATGTAAACTGAAGAGTCAAGAAATAAAATTAGAGTTCCAAAATTGACATCCGACTTGAGTTAAATGTCAAAACATGCCACAATATATTTGTCCTGGCAGAGGGCAAAGAGAAAAGCCACAACAAATGCAACTCCCAACACACACACGATTGCAAGCTTAAAGCCTTCTTCCCCTTCTACCACCCTTTCTCCTGGTGCTGTCAGATGGGATCGGAGTCACATCCTCTGCAAAATCCCCGCATCATACATGAGCAAATTAACAAATGCAATGAACTAGAGAGACATTTTGGTAAAATGCAAATGGCACTTTCAACGCATGGCAAACCAAATCCTATATAGAGCAAGTAACCTCATAAATATGATGGGAATAGCCAAACAAGACTTTGCATGTATGTTTGGCTTACCATTGGAGCTTCCAAACCTCAATTAAGAGAATGGAGTTTTCAAAATGAACCCTTCTGAAAGTCCAACTAGCAGTATTTTTCCAACACAAGTGAAAGGCTGCTCTTGTTGAATTGGATTTTCTGAACTAGGTTTCCCAATGTCATTTTTAAAACGGTTTTCCAAACACGCACTTCACCCATAATGATATCACATCCATTAAAAGTTCTTGAATTATGACAAAATTCAAATCCTCAGAAGTCAAGAATAAATTGCATTTAACAAAATAAAGACAGTAAAGGGAGGAAATAAGTCCCACACCATCAGTTTCGTTGTATCACTCCCTCAAACTGCATGACCATGCCCACATAATATTCAATTTCTTTTTTGACCAAGCACTAGATATAGTGATTTATACTTAACAACTTGTTACAGAAGATAGCAGGAAAAATAAACAAAACCCTGAGCAACATGAAACAAAATATGATCTTTAAACAAGTAAATAATTCTTCAAAAAGTGCATTACCTATTCGACCAATTTTCATTCCTGAACGAGCAAGGGCACGGAGAGCAGACTGAGCACCAGGTCCTGGGGTCTTTGTCTTGTTTCCACCAGTGGCACGGAGCTTGATATGAAGAGCAGTTATACCCAGCTCCTGTTCCATAACACTCAATGTCAATTAACAACTTTCGACTATTTAAAAAAGAAAACTATTTGAACACCTATTTCAATCATACAGAGTAATTATAACAAAAACAAGCATGGCAGATGTTGCATTCAATGAGGTTGATTGGAAGAACAATTTTATAAAAAAATTTACGACCTTGCATCTAGCAGATACATCCTGTGCTGCAAGCATAGCAGCGTAAGGGGAAGACTCATCCCTGTCAGCCTTCACCTTCATTCCACCTGAAGATAAGAAGCAGGTTGCATTAGAAAACACAATGTCATGTTCCCTAACTTCACTTTGCTAACATTTAACTTCAGTAAACTGCCCAGAGCGTTATCTGATGACATATCTGAAGTTCTGAGAATATTTCACAAATTATATAATTTGCAGGACCAATTCAAACGATTTCATCAAATCAGAATAGCTCATCCCAACATAAAGACTCCAAGAATTAACGAAAAAGGTGGTGCACGCCTAAGCAAAAACGACATATTAAACAAACCAACATAAAGAGGAAAACTCTTTACCTGTTATACGAACAAGGGTTTCCCTTCCAGACAAATCAGTCACGTGCTGTAACAAAGCAAATGATCCAATTATACCGAGAATTTTGAAGATGTAATTTTAAACCAAAGAATATACAATTATGTGCTCACAATGAAGGTATCGTTAAATGATGCATAGATATGGGCCACGCCAAAAACATGTTCCCCATCTCTGACAGTTGGGCCAAGAGTGACAGTTTCTTCCTTTGGCTCTCTAACCTTTCTCCTTGACTGCAGAAACCCAAATCGCAAACAGAATTAGCATTGAATCCATCACAAGACAATCAAAAACTAAAACAATGCGAGAGAAAAAATTCTTCAGAGGGCTGACACAACAAGATAAGAAGTCCACAATCGTCGCCCAACAAACTTGTTTTCCCGAGCCCCAACGAACTTAAATTTTGCAATAGTATAATTAACAAGTCACCTCATATAGATAACTGGCAAACAACAAACAGGTTCCTCTGCCTTTTAAAACAGTTATATCACTCTAAAATCAATATCCAAATACATGACTTAAAACCTCTAGCCTGGACAAAACCTCGGACGATCCTCCCATTCGAGTACCACCAACGGTAGACCAGTGAAAAATAAAACCAGAAAATGTTGACGGAATCGTTACAGTAAAATGTATAAGAGGAAATGGGCATGCATACCAGCTCTTAGGAACCCAATAGATCTTGAACTCATATTTGCACAATTTATCAATTTTGAAGATCTAAACCTCCTAGAAATAAAAACTAAAATTCAACAGTAGGGGCAGATGTTCATATGATTCAGAAAAACTTGTACAGGATAAATCAAAGTAGATGTAACATATCAGACAGAAACACAGGGAAAATCAAATTGGATATAACATATAGACAGATTAAAGCACAAGAAATCCTAACCATGATTGCGAGGCAGCGAGGAAGAGCACAATGGTCGTACTTGCGGCTTCGGTGCTTCTGCTGAACGAAAACGAAAACCCTCGCAGTAACTAAGACTGTGGGCTCTTTTTCATATTTTATATATGGGTACGGTGTTAGGGTTTTACGGCCCATCTAACAGGGCTTTGTAGTCCATTGTTCTTATGGACTTTTTGTCTGCCCATCATGGGGTCGGCCCATTACGACTACCATTAAGCAATTGTTTTGTAAATCCATTTTTGGTTAAAAAAGAATTTTCTGTTATAAAAAAACTTACCAGCAAGTTAGATATAATGAATTGGACTAATTTTTTATAGCGTAATTAATACAAGCTCAAATTCTCATTATAGAGATGTTTATATTTAATGTCCGGCCTTACTTTGATTAGATAATTTATTGCCACGTTTATAATCATTCACAGGCAACTTTATGGTTTGCTAAAACAAAAAAAAAAAAAAGATTAATAGGTAGTTTAATGCTCCAATTATAATCATCTAATTTTATGGTTTTAAAAAATAATTAATTAATAATTTATACTTATAAGATAATTTTAAATAAAATTATATATATCAGTAAAATTTACTAAAAAACTTTATAATTGTATTTTTCAAAATAGAAATAGAAATTTTAAAAAATGCTCTTTATTTAACAACTTTAAAAAGTGAGAAATAGGGAGATTATGATAGGGGAAATTAAAAAAATTTAATTTAATAAAAATTTATTTTTATTAATTTATGTAAATTTGTTTCATGAATATGTGAATTCATAATCTTCTCCTCGTGAAAAATTAGAAAACTTTGAGCAAATAGAGATTAAATTAAATTTTAAGACTAAATTAATTAATAATAATTTACTTAAATGACAGAAGTTTCGCTGTCCTATCGCTCGTCAATCATATCATTACCAAGGGTATAGTCTCTTGCCACGACGAATAATTGCTGTGCAATTTGGCGGTGGAAGAGGGTCGTGCTACAATTTCGTCGTTCTCGCGCAATTCTCCGATTCGATCATGAACGATGAAGGCAAGAACAGGGATGTCGTCACCGATCCCCTAAACCAGCCTTACTATGGCACGTTTCAAGGCGTCGCCAACTACTATCCGAATCCGACTGCTCCACCTCCACCGCCGCAACCTCAGCCGGCGGTAGGATTTCCTCAGCCCATTCCGCCACCGGCAACGTACGGTGGTCATTATTACCATGGATATCAAACCGTTCCAGGCACGCGTTGAGAACTTTTTAATTGCTTTTAATGTTGATTTACCTAACAAATTACAGGGCTTAGATTTTCGTTTGAATTAATTCATTGGGTGAACTAATACACCTGTTACTAACCACGGATGAATTAAATGCGAATACTTCTATTCAGAGTGGCTATTTAGGTACGACTAGCTTGGTTTTCTCATGGGATACTTGAACCTATTACCAAACTCAGTGGGTTTGATTTGGTATCTGGAGAAGTTGCTCGCTCATGGTTGATCTGAATTCGATTAGAATGAAATTTTGACGCTGTTTGATATCTGATGTAATCTGTCTGGGGAGCAATGTCTAGGTTGAGGTGTTGTTCTGTTGCATTTTCTAGGCAAATCAGTCCTATTACGATTTGATGGGGTTTTCAATTTTTCTTTGTGACCGTTATAATGGTCTTTAGAGGTTATTTGGACTGTGCATTAGCTAGTATCCAAATCAAATGGTCCAAATGGTTGGTCTGGTCTTGTTTTCAAAACATTGCTGGAAAGGTTCTATGAAGATATAACGTGTTAAGATTCATGATACATTTACAGAGCTTTTAAAGTGGAAAACAATTCGTGCTATTTCCTGTTGCTTTGCATTCCTTTGTCATTTTGACATTTCTGTGTTCAAAGCTTTATTGACAAATTCATGAGATGCATAAATTTCTGACCCCATGTAAAACTATCTAAAATCGGGGTTTATTTCTTTCTTTCCCTATTTGGGTTGAAGCTTAGTGTTTCTCTAGAATATATATCATTTGGAAAAGAACTCTTGGTACCTTTATGATATTTAACTTGGTTTTATAGAATATGATAATATCTATTCCTCAATGCTTCTGTGACCATGCGAATATTGTTTTAAGCACCTTTGAATCTGAGATCACTTACATTGATGCGTGGGAAGATTTTATCAATATTTCTTGTTTTTGTCTTCTGTGTTCACATCATAATTATTTTCTGATGCTCTGAAGGTTATGTTGTTGCTGAAGGAAGGCCCATGAGGGAACACCGTCTTCCTTGTTGTGGACTTGGTCTGGGTTGGTTCTTGTGAGTTCAATGACACTTTATTGAACCATTCTTTAATTCCTTTTTAGGCATCTAGGATTAAATGTTAAGGTTCACCCATGCTATAAAACTATATGATGTCTTCCATCTACACTGCATGTATGTTTCTAGTGTGCATTCGGAATGAATGTTGGTATGTGATAAAGTTTACTTGTATTTGCATATCTAAATATCTAATTTAAGGAACTATGAAGCAGTAGGAAGGAAAAATCTGTTCGTTCTGTTTGTTTGCATTTATTTAATACTTATAGTTCCTAGACAAATACTCCAATTTTCTGATGCTGCCACTTTTGAGGGATGCAAATGTCCTTTTTGGCCAAGTGCTGTTGTAATTGTTTCAGAAGGGTGCCTTTTTATTGGATTGGAGAGCCATTTAGTGAAGTACCTTTCTTTTTAAGGGCTTGCTTACCCGCTGCCTTTTTATCTTCTGTCTCTTCCTTTCTGATATTTTTATTTTTATTATTATTTTAAAAGAATATTTGTTGCATGTAGGGGGGAAATGGACATCCGCCCTTCATATATGGTGATTATTGAGTAAAACTGTAGAACAAACCTAATGCAAACTTTCAGAAATACAAGGATTTTTTTGGTAATGATTGTTTATAACTCAAACAATGAGTCAATTTTATATCATCATGTAAGGATTTTGCATTCATCAAATAAGAGACGAAACTTCTAAAGTTGCACTAAGCACTCATATTGTAAGGGACCAGAATATATTTGGATTCAAATGCTCTTGTGGGATCTAGGTTAATGAGAAGACACAGTCTCTGATTATTCTTTTGCTGCGTTTGACATTAGGAATTCAAGAAGTTTGTCTATTCAGCCAGGATACTAGATGTATTGATACCATAATTTAATTTGTATTGCAAGGTTTATAACGGGATTCTTTCTTGGTGGCATTCCCTGGTATGTTGGAACTCTTGTGCTACTATGTGTACAGATGGATTACCGAGAAAAGCCTGGATTAGTTGCATGCACAGTTGCTGTAAGTGTTTATCATAATTTGCAAGTTATATTTCGTTTTTCATTTATGTTCAGACTTATTTCTTTGACAATCTAACAAATGGTCCTCAAATCCATTGCATATTTCTCTCATCTGCACCCTTTGAAAGGTCAATATTTATCCTAGCTTGTTAGGAGCAAGTTCTATATCATTGCATGTTCCCACTTGACCTATGTTTCTTAATTCTTAATTTGCAGTCAATCATTGCTGTGATAGCTGTGACGCTGGGTGTTACAAATAAAGCTCATGATTGGTGAGAGCTGCACGCCAAAGAACTTATTGTACATGTTGTCCACTTCAATCTGTTTGACGCTTTCTCACTGTTCTGAACTTCACCTATGGTTATATTTTACAATTTGCTATTTTTGTTGTAAATGGCTACAAGAATGCATTTTCTTCAGATTTGCAGATGTCAAGGTTTCCGAAACAGTTAACTATTCTAGCAAGAAGTTGTAACAATTTATGTGCCTGTTTGGATTTCATAAATAATTAATTTTAAGGGTACAAATAATGAATTTGTGAAAACATATCCAAACACCCTTATTACATATGAAAATCAATTATAAATTCAAAACTGTATTTTTCTAAAAATATCCAAGCATCCATCGTACCAGTCAAAATCAATTAGGAATTTAAAATAATGATTTTCTTAAAAATATTGAAATACTTCTTGCATGTTAAAATTAATTATGAATTAAAAAACATGATTTATTAAATAGTATATAAGATTTTTAGATAAATTTTAGAACAGTATAATTACAATGTTGAATTGAAAAATATATAATAGTAATTTATGAGATAATCATAGTTTTGGATTCATAATTAATTTTAACATATATAAAAGTTTATATTTTTAAGAAAATTGATTTTGATATATGTAGTGGGTGTTTCGGTATTTTTAAAAAAGGAAAATGCTTATACACTTAGTATTATATATTTAAAATACTTGTCTTCAATTAAATTAAGATATATTTGTTTTTTTATAAATTATTTAGTACATAACAAATTCTTCTTGTTATATTATTAACATATAAAAATTCACATGTGTTAATTTGATTGCATAAAAGTATATTAAATATATAAAATTAAGTACATAGGTATTAGTGCCTGTTTGAATAACCTCTGTAATCAATTCTAGAGGTTAAATCATAGTTTTATAAAAATATATTTAAATGCTTCAATTACATGTTAAAATTGATTATAAATTTAAAACTATATTTTTTAAAAAATATTCAAATATCCATTATGTATGTCATCAATTTTGAACCCAAGATCATGTTTTTCTTTAAAATATCCAAACACATTTATATATATATATCAAAATTAGTTATAAATCCAAAAATATGATTTGAAATATAAATTATATGGTTTTTGGATAAATATTTAGAAAAATATAATTAAAAGTATGAATTGAAAAACAAGTAATAGCAACTTATAATAAGATAACTGTAGTTTTAGATTCATAATTAATTTTAACATATATAAAAGTGTTTGTGTATTTTTAAGAAAACCAATAGTTGTGGGTTCATAATTCATTTTAGCACGTATAATAGAAATTTGGATATTTTTTTTAAGAAAATATGATTTTGAATTCATAATTAATTTTAACATGTAACAGAGTACTTTAATATATTTTTACAAAATTATTATTTTACCTTATTTTTAATTATATTTTTCAATTTTGCTTCTCAATTCAAATTAAGGACCCGTTTGGATATCCATTGCAAAAAATTAATTATGAAAAAATTGATTAATATAATTAATTTTAAATATAATAGATTATTTTATGTGTATAATTGATTTATAAAATTGATTAATACAATTGATTTTAATTAACATTGAAAAGAAAATTGAAAGAAAAAATTAAAAATTAGGTAAAATCATGATTTTATAAAAATATATTCAAATATCTTGTTACATATTAAAATAAATTATGAATTTAAAATTATATTTTTTTAAAAAATGAAACACCTATTATATATATTGAAATTAATTATGAACATAAAATCATAATTTTTTTAAAAATATCCAAACGTTGTTATACCTGTCAAAATCAATTATCAATCTAAAATCACAGTTATCTTATATGTTATTATCATCTACTTTTTAATTCAATTTTTTAATTATACATTTCTAAAAATTTAAAATTTATTAAAAAATTATATAAATTATATTTTTATTGGTTCATAATTGATTGTGACATGCACAGGTGGTATTTGAATTTTTAAAAAAACTATAGTTTCAAATCCACAGTTGATTTCAATGTGCATAATAAGTATTTGAATATTTTTGATAAAACGTAATTTTAAATTCATAACTAATTTTAACATGTAGAATATATTTTCATAGAACTATGATTTTGATCTCTAAAATTGATTACAAATGTTATCCAAATAGGCATTAAAATCAATTTTATTAATTAATTTTATAAATCAATTATATATCACATAACACAACCAATTATATTCAAAATCAATCATATTAATTATAATTAATTATATCCAATTAAAATCCAAACACACCCTTACATTTTAAGAAAATCATGGTTTTAATTTTATAATTGATTTTGATATGTAATAGAATGTTTGGATATATTTTCACAACATTATATTTTACTTGATTTTCAATCTTGCCTTTGAATTCTGCTTGAAATGAATCTTATTAATCAATTTTATAAATCAATTATATACCACATAATATAATCAATTATATTAATATTTTTTTCATAATCACCTTTTTTTTTTTTTACAGATATCCAAAGCGGCCTATATGATGTTGATCCCAGGTATGCTGTCATAATTCATATGCTTCCTTACTCTGCTTGAGCAAACCGTGATCAAGTTTTAATTGAAAAGGTGACAAAGCTTACTGTGCATCTGCGAGATATCGTAAATGCTTTTTTTTTTTTCAAAAAATCAGGGAATATTGTAAATATGACAAAATTATGGAACTGAGCATGCAATTACATATCCGCGAAAAAAAAAAAAGGCAATTACAAAATACCTGTACGTGAACATGGCATTTTCGGTTGATTGATTTAAGGGGGCACCAAAAGACTTATTTCCCAAAGAAAAATACAGGCTCAGATTGTTTAAGGGCTTGCTTATTCAAAATTAAAAAATAAATAATTTTTATATAATTTAAAGATTTTATAAAAAATATGTATTTTGTAGAGATTTTATAGTAAGCAGACATTGTTTTATATTTAATAATAGTAATAAAAAAGTAATTATTAGTTAATTATTTTTAATTTCATCACATCTTCTTTAATTTCCGTTTTATAAAAATAATTTATTATTTAATACATTTAAAATTTATGATATATTTGCATATTTTATTTTTTTAAAAAAATTTCTATCTTCCACATTAGATTATTTTCAGAAGTTATTTAAAGTAGCTTTTGAAAATAATGACCACTTTTTAAATTTTAATTATTTTTAAAATTTTAAATAAATAGTATTAAAAATTATAAAATATATTTTTTATCAAATAATTAAATAAATATTTTATAAAATAAGTTGAGAAAAATGGGTTTTAAGTTTTTTCTCATAAAAAATCACTTATTGTTTTTGAAAAAAATATATTTTATGAAATTTTATTATATTTATTTAAAATTTTAAAAATAATGTGAATCTAGAAAAATGTATATATGATTATGGAGGAAATCTACTTTAAATTTGAATAACCTTGATAGATAAAGAAAGCTGCCATAAAAATGTCCAGATACATAAATATATTACAAAATTTTAAAATAAATAAATAATAACTTATTTTAATAATAAATATCTACAAAAATATAAAATCTAAAAAATAACTACATGATAATAATTTTTTATTATTATAACTAATCATAAAATAATATATGATTTTTATAAAATCCTTATAAAATAAATTTCTTTTGATAAAATATCTAAGCTATCTAAAATTACTTATTTTTTAATCTTAAATAAGTGCCTCTGTTGAAAATTTATAAGATTAATGAGCAAAATAAATCCTGAAGTATTGCCTGAAAAGCACTTTCAACCCTAAATTCTTAAAATGTGCCAAATAAACCTTAAAATTTTAAATTTGTAGTAAAATGAACCTTAATCGTTAAATTTTTTAGCACAATTACTATTCAATCAAGTACTGTTCATAGTAGGTCCCAGTTAATGCTGACGTGTCATTGTCAATTAGCGCCATAGACCCTAAACTATCATGTTAGTAGCATTTCTGAACTCCTGAACTATTATGTTAATAGCATTTTAAACCCTGAGCTTTAAAATTTTGAATAAATTACCTCCATTATTTATGTATAGAATATTAATTACTATGTAGATCAAATTAACCTCGACATGGTTTGCCGTAGTGAATGCATCGTTAGCCGTGACAAATGACTTATAATTTTATAAAATTACATTTTTGTCTCTCTCTTTTTTTGTAATGTTTTTCAAACAATTAGTATCTCATGCTTTCGTATACTCTATAACTCTAATTTAATATTATTTTGAATAATGATTATTTTATTTAATAGTGCAAACATAAGATTCCATTTGAAAGAAGTTTAAATATTAGATGATTTAATTAACTGATTAATTTGAGTTTTAAATTCGTCGATGAAATCATCGACTTTCATATCCATTGTTTATAAAATCCTATGATACTTATTTTTTTCAAATGGGATCCCAAAACTTTTACCATTAAATAAAAAAATATTATTTAAAATAAGACTAAATTACAATTATAGAGTATATGAAAGTATGAGATATCGATCATTTGAAAAATATTACAAAAAAGGGGGGCAAAAAACATTGTTTCATAAAATTATAGGTCGTTTGCATGGTCAACGATGTATTCACCACGGTAAAACATCCGAGACTAATTTGATCTACATGATAATCAACATTCTATATATAAATGGTGGGGGTAATTTGCTCAAAATTTTAAAGTTTAAGGTTCAAAATGCTACTAACATAATAGTTCAGGGTCTGTGGTGCTAATTTACAATAACACATCAACATTAATTGAGTCTCATGGTGAACAGTATCAAGTGAACAGTAACAATGTTAAAAAATTTAACCGTCAAGGTTTATTTTGCTGTAAATTTAAAAATTTAAGGTTTATTTTGTACATTTTAAGAGTTTAAGATTAAAAATAATTTTTAAACAATATTGTAGGATTTATTTTGCTCATTAACCCAAATTTATATATAATCATTTCTACTATATTTTTAAATGCATTATATATTTATATTTAAATATAAAAAAATGTGAATTGGTATCTTTCACTATTCTGCCAAAAAAAAAAACCGCCCTCAAAAGTTTCAGTTACAAGAAATGACATTATTTACCTTTAAATAAATTTAGGAAGAATGACAAATAAGAACTTTATAAAAATATTAACATCAAATTATAAACTTTAATATTAAATTATGATAGAAAGAGTATTAAAATTTGAGAATATCAATATTAAAAAAATTTTAATTTAATATTAATGCTCTTACAATGTCCTTGTCTGTCATTCGCCCTTAAATTTACGTACAAAATGCCTCAAAAAGTTTAGTGAAGAAAGATTCAAACAAATTTATTATGCTCCTGGACTCTCAAAAATCAAACTGATGAATTTAGATTTTTTTATCAATTTAAAATTATTCTAAAAGCAATAACATTATTTAAAAAACAGGGCTTTGTTACTATACAAGAGATGAGCTCTAACTCTCATAGAATAATGTTGGAGAGAGAAAGAAAACTCTCATACAATAGTGTCCAATATTTTTAACTAATATATATCTATGTCATCACAAAAGTTTTGATTTAGAAAATATATTATATTTTTTCTGGTGCAATTTTTCAATGAATTTATATTAAATTCATACTTTTTTATGGAATAAAAAAGACGAAAAAAGGTACATAAAAAATAGTTTTAATAAACAATGTATAGAATTTTTAAAAGCCAACTTATTTATTTTTTTTCAGTGACCGAACGAGGAAAAATATTGACCATGATCTGGACAAAATATTAAGACTAGGACATGGACTTTGAATGTTTTCTGGATCTGTAGGCCCAAAAGATGAAAGAATTTTTTAATGCCAAAGGCTTTGTGGACAAAAAATCTTATGGCCCAAAAGAAGAAGGAACATCTTATTGTCAAAAGCCTGGCCACAGCGGAAATCTTAATCCCGATCTAGGTTTCGCTCATCATATCATCATATATAACTGAAAACCAAAACCCTACCCTCAGACGGCGGGCGCAGAGGGAGAGAGGGGGAGAGAGAGAGGCATCAGAATCCTTCCTGTGTTGATTTTCTCCCAAAAATGGTGGCATTCAGAGTGAGTTTTTTTATCTTGCGTCTTAAATCAATGCATTGGTTTCATAATCAATGTGGGACTGAAATTCGTTTTAGGTTCCGTCTCCTTCCATTAATTTGCGTTACTGAAAGCTGATAGTATATTTTTATGCTTATTTGTTTAAGTTTTTGATCTGGTTTTTGAGCGGACTATTCAATTTTCTCGTAGATTCCTCCGTTTTCATTTCAACCAAATAAATGGCATTTTTTTTCCAGCTGATTTGACGTTTCTCTGGTTGCTCTCGCAGTTTCATCAGTACCAGGTCGTTGGGAGGGCCCTGCCCACGGAATCAGATGAACATCCCAAGATTTACCGCATGAAACTCTGGGCCACGAACGAGGTTCGCGCCAAGTCGAAGTTCTGGTAAACTGATTTCTTTTTATCACTATATAGTCTTGACTGGAAATTTTAGCTTGTACTATTCTTGAGGTCTTTTAGTTTGAGAAAAGTTTTATTCGAGCTAGTAGTCTAGTTTCTTTCGTCCCCAGAGGCCGAGGCTTGAAGTATGTCTTAATTTGGCTGATTGCTTTGATTTAGGTACTTTTTGAGGAAACTGAAGAAGGTTAAGAAGAGCAATGGTCAAGTGCTTGCTATCAATGAGGTGCATTTTTTACTTTTGCGCATGTTTATTTATCGTTTCATGTCTGCTACATTCTGATTCTGACAATAATGTTTTCTGTGTGCGAATGTGAAACACAACTTAAGAATCTTAAAGACATGTCAAAATCCTGGGAATTTCTCATTGTGCTGTGTTCTTGAGTATTGCTATTATGGCCTCCCGTGCTGAATTCATGTTCGGCAACATTGGCCAAACTATTAACCAGTATCGATTATTGCATTGTAGAACTTATTTGTTGAATCCTCATTCCAGCAACTTTTTAATTTTAAATCTATAAAATGATTCACCAGTTCTGAGTTAATCTTGTCAGAAAGCTTTTGGTGTGGAGGCCTTTAATGTTCTGACAGTTGACCTGTGTTTAAGACACATCGCCCCTAGGATATTGGTGAATCTGCGAGTGAATCATTAAACTTGTGGCGCATCCCTTTTTCCTGAAAAAGCTATTTAGTGACTCTTTTTTTTCTCCCTTTTCTTTGGTGAAAATGGAATATCATTGAACGAATATGTACTGGTTACAAAAGCTGGGAAATAAAAAGATCAAGCCTCATGATCAATGGAACTGACAATATCATGTGCTTTAACAGTAGCATAAACTAAATTACAAGCAGAGTTAACAAGACTATGAGGAGAATCAACTTCATCAGAAAATAATCTCCTATTTCAAAAGGAAGGTTTGAGAGTCAAGCCATCTGAAAATGTGACTGTTCCCGTTACTATTTTCAGGAGCTTTAGAAATTATTGGATGCATTGTCATTATCAGTGGAGAGTGTTTGATCATTGGTGAAAAATTCATTGGTAGGAAAACATCTTTTCTTTATGATTATCATGAGCTAATGAAATAATGATGTCATTATTAAATCACTACCTGGTGGAACATGCATTTTGTTGCATTTTACCTATAGATGCTTCATGCTAGCTTAGATGTATTATGGATGCTGGAGGTTTATGCTATACGGATCTCTTTTTTCCCGATTCAAAAGTTTAATCCTATGGTTTTCAGGCGCAGTGATATTTTCTTTAGAACTTCTACTATCATATCTGGGGCTTATGGGTGTATCAATATGGAATGAGCTTTTTTTGAGTGTGTTTTTGATTCTGGCGTTGCATAATCTGTATTATTTCACAGATTTTTGAGAAGAACCCAACCAAGATCAAGAACTATGGCATCTGGTTGCGTTATCAGAGTAGGACTGGCTATCACAACATGTACAAAGAGTACCGCGACACCACTCTAAATGGTGCAGTGGAGCAGATGTACAATGAGATGGCTTCCCGTCACCGGGTCCGTTTTCCCTGCATTCAGATCATCAAGACGGCCACCATCCCAGCTAAGCTTTGCAAAAGGGAGAGCACCAAGCAATTCCACAACTCAAAAATCAAGTTCCCATTGGTTTACAGGAAAGTCAGGCCACCCACCAGGAAGCTTAAAACCACATACAAGGCCAAAAAGCCTAACTTGTTTATGTAATGTGTTTCTGGTAGAAACGTTCCGTCGGCTTCTTGATTAGCTGATTTTGTTTTGAGAATCTTAGAACATTGTCACTTGGTTGAAGCTTTTTTGTATTTTGATGATTCTATTGGATCTGATCTTATATATTTATGATTTTAGGGTAGGAATGAACAAATTTATATTTACTTTACTGTCGTGCTGTTTTTTGTCCTTTGCTTAAAATTAGAGACCGTTTGGTAATTGTTTAATTCATTGGTAAGTTTTCTCGCAAGGATTTTTTAACCAACCGGGTTTAAGTTATTGGATGAGGAAAAGACACTCAACATCTTCAGTCTTCAACTTGCGTGGGCCACATTCCTTAGTTCTCTGGTCTCACAAGTTTATGCATTAAATTAAGGGCAAATTTGACATCACAATCAATCTTTTAATAATATTTCAATATATTGATTGCATTTCTTATTTATATGTCAAAAATCAAAAGTTTAAAAGACGTATTCTGAGATGTAGGGAGTATGGTAGATACAGAAGAATTGCTCTTAGGGGGTCAAGAGTGAATGATATTCTTGTTTTTGTGAAAATAACAAGGTCATGGTTAACTCTGCATAAGACGACAACTAAGTTATGTTAAAACTTAAAAAGATTTCTACAGCTAGGAAATAGATTGACACTAATTGTAGAGTCTAAATTCCCGCTCAAAGCCTGACAAGCAACCTAGTCTGTGCAATTGTTTGCTTTTCTTAGATTATGATTGAGGTTATCATCCAGTATCCAATAATAATGTCCTTGATATCGTTGATGGATTCAAAGAGAGGGTGATTCTGACATGCTGAATAAATAAAAGAGCTTCTCGAAAGTCTAAGTGAAGTTGGTGAATTTGCTATTTGAATAAAGAATACAGCTTCTAATAATGGCCAAAAAACTTAACAATTGTGTTGGGGTAATAATTGAGATATTTATAAAAACTTTAATTCAATTTTCTTGACTATCCCAAAATGAGCCCACCACAAGGAGCAATGCTATTTGTGCCGATTGAGCTATCAACACTTAGTCTAACCCATTCATGATTTGGTGAACACTAAGTCTTGATTGGAAGTTCATGTCATTGATTATATCCTGGGTACAAGAGAATGTGATATTTTTAATAGAAAAGTCTTCTTTAAAATAGATTATTTTACATCTTTCCTTTCAAATATTTAAATATAAGTGAGCGAAAAGATGCTACCAAAGTTAATTTAGATGCCCTCTCATGGAGAATCAGAATCCCAAGGTATTTGCTAACATTTTTAGTATGAGAGATTCCCAACTCTACTGATCTGCATGTGAATGATATTCTTTACCAAATATCTTAAAAATTATAATTACACCATAGGACTATGTTCCTTCTAGTTCTGCGTTTTGAGAAGTGGCTGAAGACTTCTTGAATCACATAAAGCTGTTGGTGAAAGCATACACGCCAAAGAACTACATTTTGACCTCTTCAATCTGTTTGACGCTCTCTTACTGTTCTGAACTTCACCTATGGTTATATTTTACAATTTGATATATACATATATACATATATACATATATATATATATATATATATGGTAAATGGCTACTGGAATGCATTTTCAAGGTTTCCGATACAGTTAACCATTCTAGCAAGAAGTTGTAACAATTTCTGTAATGTTTATCCGATAAATGATGCCACATGTTTCCTTACTTTGCTCGAGATGTTCAAGGCTTATATATATATATATATATATATTCATTTATTTTAAAGTAATGCTTGAGAGAAAATTTCATGATGAAGTATCATGTAGGGAGAATGACAATTAAGAATTTTCTAAGAACATTAATCTCAATTATAGATCATGAAATTTTAAAATTTCAGTTAAGGACCATGATCGTTAACTGTGATAAAAAAAATGTAATTTGTGACGTGAGATTCATTAACGAGACTTGAGGATTCACTAACTCAACTTGAGAAAATTACTAACATATACTGTAAAAACATAAAACTCTACTTGGGAGAGGATTATTTAAAAAAAACCTACTTGAAAATTCATTAACCCGACTTGAAAAAATTTCTAATGTATATTGTGAAAATATGAAACTCCACTTGAGAATCGAATGTTTAACAAAAAGTACTACTTGAAAATTCATTAACTAGGCTTAAAAAAATTTCTAACGTATATTGTGAAAAACTGAAACCTGACTTGAGAATCAATTATTTAATAAAAAGTAACTTGTCCAAATTAATGTTTTTTATTAAACAATCGATTCTTAAGTAGAGTTTCATGTTTTCACAATGTACATTACAAATTTTTTCAAGTCGAGTTAATGAATTTTTAAGTGACTTTTTTGTTAAACAATTAATTTTCAAGTGGAGTTTCATAGTTTTACAATATACATTACAAATTTTCTCAAGTTAGGTTTGTAAATTTCTAAGTGACAATAGTGAATTCCACCTCACAAATTACATTTTTTTATCACAATTAAAGATCATAATCCTTAACTGAGATTTTAAAATTTTATGATCCGTAATTGAAATTAATATTTTTAAAAGGTCCTTAATTGTCATTCTCTCTATTATATATTTGGGGGATATTGTAAATATGACAAAATTATGCAATTGCATAATGCTTGTAGGCGAACGTAACGTCTTGATCACCTCAAGATTGATTTGTCAAAATAAAAATAGAGTCGGAGAAGGTTACTACTTTGGATTTTTATTTTAAAATGTTTTCAAACTGTTTTAGGCATTTTTAAAAAAATAATTTTTTTGATAAAATAAAAAAATTAGATAGACTCTTTTTTACCTTTGATTTTTAATAATAATACAATTACATTAAATGTTTTTAGGTTAGTTAAGAATGGATAAAATTAAAAAAAATTATTTTAATATTAAAATGTCCTACATTTTAGATTAAAAATTATTTCTAGAAGCTATCTTACAACTAAAAAGGGAGCAACTTTTTTGAACTAGTTTTAACTTCATGAAAATGCATCCAAGTTGAAAAAAAAAAAGAATAATCACATTATGGATTAAAAAAATATTACTAATGAATAATAAAAGAATAGCACTTTCTTCTAATTTATAAATTTACTTATTCCGAGAAACAATAATAAAAAATTATATAATCATTTTCATTGTATTCCTACGCACATTATATACTTATTATATTTAAATAATCTGAATTGGCATGTTTTATGATGCTACTGAAAAGAAAAACTTCATAAAAAAAATGAATTTTAGAGGATTTAAGTCTTACTAACAAATATATGTCCTTAAAATTTCCAGCCATGGGAAGTGAGAATATTTATCGTCAAATAATAATACGCCTCCAAAAATTTAGTGAAACAAATTATTCAAACACTTTTGTCATGCCTTTAACTTTAAGAAATCAAACTGATTAACTAATGTTTTCATGGGTGGAAAAGTAATTCATTTTTTATCTGATTAAATTGAAAATTATTCTGAAAGCAATAAAAATTATTTTTTAAAAAATAGAGTTTTGTTAATATACAGTATACAAGATATAAGCTCTAACTTCGATATAATAGTATCCAATATTTTCAACTTATATTTATTAATGTCATCATAAAATCAAGGAGAAATGACAGAAAGTTTTTAAAAGGATCAATTAATTTAACTTAAATTCTAAATTTTAAACTTTAAAAATTTATAAATTTAACTCTTAATTTTATAATTTTGTTGTCATAAATTTAAACTTGTGTTCCAAAATTTAGCAAAAAAATAAATTTATTTATACTTCAACTATGTTAAAATTTAAAAAATAAATTATAAATTTATTATAACCAACTTATAAATTTTTAAAATTTGATTTGAGATTTAAGTTGAATTAATAAATCTCATTGAAACCTTTCTATTATTCTCCCTAAAACCAATTCAAAAAGAGGAAAAGGTTTAATAAGTATATTTACCTCATTTATTTAAATAATCTCATTGCTTTTTGAATTTTTGAATCATAGCTTTTTTGATTTAGACAATTTATATTTAATTTAGATGGTCTAAATTAAAAATTAAAAACTTTCATAATTTTATGAAATAAAAGTAAAAATATAATTTTAAAATGTTAAATGTGAGCCGTTCGATTAACCATGGCGAAGGCAGACCCATCGCTAACGCCAACCGGACCCCAAACTAGGGTTTATATATAATTAAAAACGAAACTGAAACCCTGCTTCTCTGACGGCCGGTTGAGGGGAGTGAGACAGTCCTTCCTCCGTTCATCTTCTCTCGAAAATGGTTGCATTCAGGGTGAGTATTTTTTTTTATCTGCGTTTTAAATCAATGCCTTGGATTCATAAACGATTCGGGCCGAAATTTGTTTCTGGGATCCTTCCCACTTCTATTAGTTTGAATTACTGAAAGCTGATATATTATTATGCTTATTCATTTGAGTTTTTGATCTGGTGTTTTTGTGGGTTGTTCAATTTTTTCGTATCTTCCTCGGTTTTCAATTCAACCAAATAAATGGTATTTTTTTCCAGCTGATTTGATGTTTCTTTGGTTGCTCTTGCAGTTTCATCAGTATCAGGTCGTTGGGAGGGCTCTGCCCACGGAAGCAGATGAACATCCCAAGATTTACCGCATGAAACTCTGGGCCACGAACGAGGTTCGCGCCAAGTCGAAGTTCTGGTAAACTGATTTATTTTTATCATTATATAGGCTTGACTGGAAATTTTAGCTTGTACTATTCTTGAGATCTTTTAGTTTGAGAAAAGTTTTATTCCAGCTAGTAGTCTAGTTTCTTTTGTCCCAGAGGTCGAGGCCAGGAATATGTGTCTTAATTTGGCTGATTGCTTTGATTTAGGTACTTTTTGAGGAAACTGAAGAAGGTTAAGAAGAGCAATGGTCAAGTGCTTGCTATCAATGAGGTGCATTTTTTACTTTTGCGTATGTTTATTTAACGTTTCGTGTCTGCTGCATTCTGATTCTGACAAGAATGGTTTTTTATTAATTCGAAACACAACTTGAGAAGCTTAAAGACATGGCAGAATGGTCCTATCACCAGGGAATTTCTCATTTTCTGAGCCTTGTGTTGTGTTCTTGAGTATTGCGATTATGACCTTCTGTGTTGGATTCATGGTCGGCAACATTGGCCAAACTATTAGTAAACATTAATTGTTATTGCATTGGTGAACTTATTTGTTAATCCTCATTCCAGCAACTTTCTAATTCCA